CAGAAGTGCCTTATTGTAAAGGCAGAGAATACAAGTATGTAGCAGACAGGGCGTGATAATCTCTTGTTTTCTTCCCACAGGGTGGTACCTATCCATCAGCCTCGAAAGATAAAAAGGCGAGTGATCGGACCGGTGCTTGAAGCCATGACTTCTCGGTTCCAAATCCGACGCCATACGGACTGAGGCACCCCAGTACGAATAGCGAGGTGACTGACCGCGTAGCACGGTTATCACTTAAACCACGCAACATAAGTGATTAAGTGGTGGTTCGACTGATGAGGATTGCATTTGCTTTCATCGGTAGTGGCCTGAAAATGGTAATCCATTGGCTTTAGGGGTAGGAAGTTCAATGGTGCAAGGGCTCCGCATTTTCATAACTTTTACAAACCACTTCTGCATAACCGACATAAAACGTTATTCTTTAGGGACGAAATGTTACCAACTCCTGTGCCTGAAATTCAGCGTACCAACCTTGCCAGTACGCTTCTGCAGTTAAAGGCAATGGGAATCAATAATCTGATCGATTTCGATTTCATGGATCCACCTCCAATTGAAGCGATGATCATGGCTTTAGAACAGCTACACTCCTTGAGTGCCTTAGATGATGAAGGTCTACTTACAAGACTTGGAAGAAGGGTTAGTGAATCTATTTTGTTTTACGATTTTTGAGTTTCTAGTCATTTAATTTTCTGTCATGATTTTCATTATAGAAATTAAATTAACATTAACCAATTGTTAATTCTTGCTGTTTAGATGGCGGAATTTCCCCTGGAGCCAACTTTGTCTAAAGTTCTTATCATGTCTGTTCATTTGGGCTGTTCTGAGGAAGTACTAACCATCGTTTCAATGCTTTCCGTTCAGAACGTCTTCTACCGTCCTAAGGTATTCAGTTATTGAGTTAAGTTTAATACTCGTTGTTTTACGCGTTATATTATAGGACAAACAAGAAATAGCAGACCAAAAGAAAGCAAAATTCCATCAACCGGAAGGGGACCACTTAACACTGTTGGCGGTTTACAATTCGTGGAAAAATCACAAGTTTAGTCATCCGTGGTGCTATGAAAATTTCGTTCAAATTCGTACTCTGAAGCGGGCACAGGTAGATTTGTTTAACTATAATTGATTTTTGGGTGTGTTACCGTATTCAGCTTCAGTTAACTAATCGTCATAAGTCAGAATTGCTTATATGCAGAAATGGGCGTGAATGGTCCTTTATTTAAAGGTCTGTAATAGCTACTAGAATTTGCCATTTTAGGATATTCGCAAGCAACTGTTGGGAATCATGGATCGACATAAGTTGGATATGATATCATGCGGTAGGGACGTGGTGAAAGTTCAGAAGACAATTTGTTCAGGCTTCTTTCGAAATGCGGCTAAGAAAGATCCACAGGAGGGATACAGAACTTTGGTGGACAGTCAAACGGTGTACATTCATCCTTCCAGTTCTCTGTTTCAGCATCAACCAGAATGGATTGTCTATCACGAACTCGTAATGACAACTAAGGAGTACATGCGGGAGGTAACACAAATTTAGGTTAATGCTACTGCCTGTTCTTGAAAGTTTAATTTTATAGGTATGCGCCGTTGATCCGAAATGGTTAGTAGAATTCGCTCCTGCTTTCTTTCGTTTTGGAGATCCGACTAAACTGAGCAAGTTTAAGAAAGGACAGAAAATTGAACCATTGTTTAACAAATATGAGGATTCCAATGCTTGGCGTATATCTAAGGTCAAGAAGAAGATCTACAATCCAAACAGATAGACAAATACCTTCTTACTTTTACCGTACCTTTTCTTTTCGAAGGAAGCGATTTATCCAAGAAAGCGTTTCGATCCTGCCTTGGTTGACTCTCTTCAGCTTGAAGAATCATTCAGCTTTGTCCATTACCGTTCTGGTTTGTTTTGCTGTTTTTTGTTATTAATTGTTTTATCATACTGTATGACTGGAAGTAAACAGTGCGATTTCGAGAGAGATTTAGTCGTTGCGTTAATTACAGAGATTGTTAGTGCGCCAGTTACTGATCTCAACGCTTGTATAATGTGGTGATTGAAGAAGTGCTGTAGCTGATACATTTTCCTTTCGATTTCGCTGTGATACGTGTCTAAACGGTGGGTGAATTTCATCCACAGGACAGTTATATGACTCGCGTGACCAGTAACTCAGCATCAACGTGGGCAAGTGTTGCGGGTCATTTAAACTATGACTTTCTTAAACCTGATGATATTGCACAGCGATGGCAGAATCAATAAAGTTGCCCGATACAAGCCGAACATCGTTCACCCACACAGACCAACGTACCAAGGTAAGGACATTAATAATTTGGCAAGTCGGAAGACAGTTGTGCTAACCTGGGAACCAAGAGTTCTGCCTTGACTAGACTTAAGGTTTGCATGATGATGTCACTTTCATTTTTCTGCATTTCAATCAATACCTTTTATGTACCATTCCGTATAAGGGACTTGCATAAGCAAATTTTGGGAAAATAATGAATTATGAGAGTCCAGGCTCTCAGAACCGAAACGAAGAATAGCATTTTGTAAGTTGCGTTTGCACAGTGCCTTTAGCAATATGGAAACAATCATTATCCATTAGTCACAGACGGTACAATACGTAACAGCACATTTTGAAAGCTGTGGGAATATGACTGATACCGCTGTCATTAAGGATAAGTCAATTATCCTGTTATTATCTGTTAAAGACACGGATCACATGACTTTGGCGCGTATGATGTGACGCAATATTTTGTACAATCCCACAAAATAACGTGTTGGGTGTTCCTCTCGTTTGCTTACTTGGTTATAGCATCTGCTCCTCCGTGCAGTCGCACTGTAACCACCAACTGTTCATCTGCATGACGCCTCTACACACCTCGCTGCTGGTGCATTGATTTGTACTGTACATCTTATACCGCGCTTCACTGCTTCAGTTCGCCTTAACCCAGTTGGTAAATGATCGAATCGGCACAAGGGTGTAATAAAACCGGTTGTGCAGCCAACGATGTAATGTAGAGCTGATGGAGAGTTTGACCTGAAACTTCCTAGTTGCAACGGGGCAGTTGTAGCAACTCTCTGAGCGGGTTTGCTTTCGATGAGGGTTCATCCGGTCAGAAGGTTGGAGGCCTATCGTATATATTGATGAGAAGCACCTTTTCCTGATGGAGGAACTTATTTTCACCACCCCTAAATGGCATTAAATTTCTGTAAACGATAAGCGTCGTATGTAAATGTCAGCTGGTTCTTTTATACACGTTGACCAAGCACTGGAGCAAATTCGCATCACCAACGCACGTTTCAAATTTGGCACTATCACACCTTGGCCATAATGTCCACCACGCTGCGACCATCTGGTGAGATATATCACTGTTTCTTCCGCATTTCGGTCTGCGATGGTACAAGAAGTTCTGTCATTGCCGGTCATCCGAAAATCACATCTTGAGAACGGTTATGGCTGACACGCCATCCATCGCCAGAAGTTACGATAGTGGATTTTTGACCGAGTTGCGCCATCTGGCATATCCTGTCAATATTTTATTCAAAAATTATTGCCAGTAAAATATTTTTAACAAGTCCTTTACGTTCTGTCCCATAATTAATATTGTTTTTGTAAGTTTTGGATTTTCATTCTGCAAAATTGAAAACAATTTTAAATAAAACAGTCTCATAGAAACAAGCAATGTCAAAAAGCTTCTGCAAAATCATTGCATTACATAACCGCACATAAGACAAAATATACATTGCCCTCCTGATATAATGTACGAAAACAAAACGTGAATAATAGAAAAACAGCATGTCTATAGTTTTGTCAGCGCAACGCTAAATATCGCAAAACCACTGATCAACGGTCAAAATTGCCTAGGCATGTCGAAGAACAGTTCTTCGAATTTCGTGAGCGACGTGTACTTCGATATCGTTCTTCACCTCGCCGCTCTTGCTCATCGCCGAACACCTGTAGATGCCTTCATCTTCTGGAGTGATGCCGTACAAAACGAGAGTGTTGCCCATAATCTGATAACACAGTAGTTTATAAAAACAAACTATACTGGCAAATTATGATGTTAACGTTATTAAAACACTTCTGATCGCCTAATTCAACTGTATTCCGATTTGTTTAATCATAAAATTAGAATTTTTACCATCGATGATACTGGCGAATCTGCACAGAATTCAAGGAACGTATGAACACGCTGGCTAATTCCTGTTTTGCTGTTTCAGCTAGCTCAAAACTTATGGCGAACACCCTTAAACTCTTTTCTACAATGAGTAATCTATCCACTTTCATGCGAAGGAAAGTCGCTTATATTTTTTGTTTAATTTATTTGTACAGTAGTCACTAATGTATATTTACAACGTGACAAATGGAGCGACTTCAAAAACCACCGGGGCATTATACCTGATTATATCTATTTGTAAAAGAGATGTCGTTTTAATGAAAGAGTAGTAACTTGAGGAAGAGCATTGCGGCATATATCTAAGCTGCAATAGAATCAACTGAGTCTTACTATTAAACAGGTCTGGCGAAATGCGGGTAATATGCCGAGGAGGTTGATATCTGATTCATAAACTTAAAAAAATTTACGACTAAGCGTCACGGGGGGATCAGTGGTGCCGAAATATGGAGCAAGCTATCAGTTACTGTGGGTCATCAAATATTCGTAAGACTGCTAGAAGGTACGTGATTGCATTAATGCGATGAAAACGATGCATTTCGAGGTGTTTTGTTTTCCACCAACAGCGCTGTTGTATACTTTGATGTTCACAACGTATTGAATTCAACAGCAAAGACAAGAAGAACATCACAGTTAGAGAGGCTTGACTGAGTCATCTGCCATTTGAGGTTGATTGCTTCGCTTTTATATTGAATGAAACAGGCATGAAAGTCGTTCTGACAAGAAGTGGTGCCATAATATTCACAATAAGAGCCTCTTACTGAGCACCGCAGATGGTGGAGTACAAATGAAACCGATAGAGTAATTAAGACTCTTGGATCAGCATTTAAAAGTAATTACAGACACAATATTGAAAACGCATTAAGCGGTCAAGCGAGCACTGAAACGCGGTAATCAAGAAAGAGTTGTATGCCTTCGTTTCAACTTTGATAAAAATGAAATACAAGCCGTAATAATGATGTTGCTTGAGGGTCTAAAAGCTTTAAAACATGGCACCTCTTTTTGCGTGTCGTTTCTTCACGTCGCAAGGTCATATTTTCGCTGCTCATCATTCGTAGCCAGGGTGCGAAGCGAGAGATTAGCATTCTACGTTTATTCGCAGTTACGTCAGGCTTTCAAGCCTAGGAGAAATAGGCCCAGAACCGAATGGCCCGGATATAATCAACACCTACCACTGCTGGACATTGACATATAACTTATATATATTGTCTGGTTGAATGATGAGTCGGTTCACTTGAAAAGCGCTAAGGAGTTGCTGCCTCGCAATTGAAGAAGGACAGCTAACTCGCAAACTGGCTGGACGGGCGAACAGACGAAAGGACGAATCGATGAATTTACCTAAGACGGCACTCATTGAAAGACGGGTCGAGTTATGTGGCAGAATGGGAATAATTGTGCGGTGAATTCAATGGAACAAACAGGTATACCGAAGCCGTGGCCGGAAGATGGTCGTCCATTTTCTCCCAAGTGATGCTTGCAGCTTCGTCGTTTTCAACGATGCATTTTAGAACAACGTTGTCGTGTATTTTAGGATATGTCGGATACATATCTATAGACACGCTTACGACGTCATCGTTGGATCCTTAAGAATAAGTAAAAAATCTCAGACCAGTTGCTGAAATCATTAAAAAGACTCGCCTTCAAAGCCGACTTCAACGTATGCAGACACAAAAGCATCGTCGTAAATACCATCACACTTATAGACGCCGGCCTTTTCGGCTTGGAAGTCCGGAAATCTGCAAAAATAAAGTTTAACAAACAGAAAGGCGCCGCCGTGCTTACATGAGCATATCTTGGTCGGCACCAGCATCGCTTGGCATGTCTCCGTCGCTCCTAGACCACGATATCGACATACCAGACACAATATATATTGGACAGTGGATTTCGAGTTCTTTTCCCTTACTGCCTACGTATTTCGTGCGGACAGGAGCTGAAAAAGTCAATTCGGTATAAGGTCGAGTTTCTGACTGATGAATAGGGAGCACTGTAAATTTGTTAGATCATAAAATTATCATAAACGAAAGGCATTAATAAACTGAAAGACTTTCGCAAAATGTAATCCGAAGTAACTGGAGCAATAAAACAATACAAGATGCATGTAGCGCCTAATATCCTTAAATATCTAGGATTTGGGGTTTGCTTTGAAACCATGTTTCACTGTAGTAAAACTGAATTAGTAACATTTTAATGATCATGAAGTATTGTGGAATTAATGCTCTTGTTCTAATTCTATGATCCGGTTGAAATCATGGTTTCTTAAATAGTTCACCAATGGACATCGTATTGCCCAAGCTGTTTGCGGCATGTCGTATGTCAGTTTTCCGCAAAATGCAATGAGGTGAAAAATTTTTATTCAACGACCGGTTCACTCATCTTCGATTTGCCTATGGTCTGCGACGAAGGCAAATTAAGCTGAAGCCGAAGCCATGCTATGTGAGCTTGAGCTAAGGAGCAAGACAGGGAACTAAAACGATCAGAAACGAATAAGTAAGCAGCTGCAGTTGCCATCAATGATGTCAAATTGAAGAATGAATACTTGGGATAGCTAATCGTCTCAGACTATTCTCTCGGAACGGAGTTCTGTAAAAGGAGTTGCGTTGCATGGAAAGTGTATAGAAGAAACGCTGACATTCTTGAAAACAGAATATTATAAATTGCGGTTAAAACTACACTGCATAAAAACGCGGTATCGCCGATAGTTCAATCAGTCATGAGACTCGGACATTAACCAATAAAAAGGCTAAAATCTGCCAAAACTGAAGCAGGGGGCAACAGAAAGAAGGATACTCGAAATTTTCGTCAAAAACAAGCTGTGAAATGAAAAAAATAGGAAGACGCACTGAATGAAGGACATTGCATCAGTTTAAATGGAAAGAAAACGCAAACGGACAGGTCACATCACACGACTCATCAATGGCAGATGGACTTGCAAAGTACGGTGTCAGACTGTT